ATTGTAGAGCTAGGGAAATCATAATAATATGCCGTCAAAATTTGAAAGCTAATTAAAAAAATCTATCCTGGCGTGGAAAAATTTTGAAGCCTAATGAATGGATCTGGAAAATGAAAAGCAATCAGCTTGGAATGTAGCATTGATCTGTGGTGACAGTATTTCAAGATATTCAGAGTTTATTATACTTCACTCGTTTTTGATAACTTTAATATTCTACCTATATTTGTGAGGTTAGGATACGATATTGTAACGTGATTTATAAATTCGGGTTCGATTTATATCAATATTTATTAAACAGAACTAAAACACTATAAAATCGGTACAATTTATATCGATTATTTATATCACTCACACTTCGCAATTTATATTTCCGCGCTCGATGTTTACGTACTCGTTCGGTAGTAGACTGCCGCGATGTTCGGTCCGCAACCATTTATACACGCAAGCAATGTAAGTCCAGTACATTCTCGAATAGTCCTACAGAATCCCACTATCGCGCGCGTAGAAAATTCCAGAGCGCCAAAGGCGACGTCATGTCTGGAGCATTTCCGTTACAATATATAGAAAAAACCTATCGGACATAAATGATGCGGAATTTTATAATAATTTAGGTTGTATCCATTTTCCTCGTCAGGGTAACAGTTTTCGAGAAAAATTGAAAGCACTAGCGCGAGGTCACATTAGTGGTTGGTTTTTGAACCACTTTATACGTTTTTTCTCTCAAAAAAAAAACTAATTTACGTCGACTGCCCAGCATTTTAATTATTAAAGGCACATAGGATAATATCCTGCATTGTGAAGGAGGCAAGTTCTCTAAGGACTAAGAGAATTTTACATTCGCTACCTTTTTAGACAAGATTGTAGAGATTATTAAGGATCCTCAGATCCTTTATAGTTTTGTATTGTCGTCCGACCGTCTGTCCGTCCATGTGCGCTCTAACTCTTAAAGTGGCCGACGGTGTTGAAATTTGGTGTACGGGTACTTTGTACATTAAGGACGGACAGTATTGATTTTCAGAAAGCTGATTCAACAGGAACAAAAGTTATAGGACTTTGAGTGAATCGGGAACAGGGAAAACTGCGCGCTCAATATAATAGAAATCAACATAATAACTTCATTCCCTAGGTCATGTATCGAGTTCGGAATTTCGCTAGATTATTCCCCATGACCATGGTATAATAAAAACCCATGACTCTTAGATGTGTAATAATTCAATATAACTCTTCTCTGTGGTATAGGTCAAATTAAGTGTTAGAGCAAAATGTACCCAAAATTATTTTTTACACATGAATTTGGAGTTTTAAAAGTTTTCAAACGCATTATCTTGATGCTGAAAGTACATCACGTGCACATTTGATAACCGCATGGTGTGTGAGTCAAAGATGTTACATTATTTTTCTGAGGTCACATGGATTTTGATCAAAACATGTCAAAATCGTTATTTATGCACCAATTTCGTTGGGAAAAAGACCAAGATCGTTGGGAACAAGATTAAGAGCATTATCTCAATGACCGAGACATGAATTTGATGCAGTTTTATTAACTATAAAATGTATTATGTAAGATTAAAATAAATTGTCGTTAAAAGTGATTGTAATACTGAGGATCCTTCGATATTTCGTTGTATCGGTTTATTCCATCTCTCAATCGTATCTTGATACTTGTTTCTATTATTAACTGTTATCATCGCAATAAACAGTTAAGTAATGCCTACTGTTGTTTTCATCATTAAGTTGTGATTGGTGGATATTATACAAAACGTGTCCTAAATCTTCACATTGATAAGATTACAGCTCTCTAATGTAGTATAAAACGGTGAGCATTTTCGAGTAAAAGTAAAGCAACAACAGCAATACTAACAAGTTAAAAAGTAATCGTAAACGATTTACATAAAGCGCATTTCCACTTGCATTCATTTCCCATTTGTAAGATGCAACTTCTGTTAAAATCGTAAAAATCCGGCCACAAATATGAAAAATAGCGTTGCACATGGGCAATCCATTGTTGACGTGCTACTTCAATTTCAGTTTATGAGAAGAATTTCATTTCAATGCTTTTCCAAATAAGAAAGTTGGAACTGCGCATGCGCAAACCTAAATTTTAAAACTAATGTTAGATTTTCCTTTGTTCCAAGCGCCTAAGTATCAAATTTCACTTAAATGGTTCCATAGATAAAAAAAAGTTGGCACTGCGCATGCGCAAAATAAAATTTTGAAACTGGCGCTAGATTTTCCTTTATTCCAAGTGCCTATGTATCACATTTCATTTAAATTCTTCCATAAATAAAAAAGTCGGCACTGCGCATGCGCAAAACCAAATTTTGAAATTGGCGTTTGATTTTCCTTTATCCCAAGTGCCTATGTATCAAATTTCGTTTAAATTCTTCCATAAATAAAAAAGTTGGCACTGCGCATGCACAAAACCAAATTTTGAAATTGGCGTTTGATTTTCCTTTATTCCAAGTGCCTATGTATCAAATTTCGTTTAAATTCTTCCATAAATAAAAAAATTGGCACTGCGCATGCGCAAAACCAAATTTTGAAATTGGCGTTTGATTTTCCTTTATTCGAAGTGCTTATGTATCAAATTTCGTTTAAATTCTCCCATAAATAAAAAAGTTGGCACTGCGCATGCGCAAAACCAAATTTTGAAATTGGCGTTTGATTTTCCTTTATTCGAAGTGCTTATGTATCACATTTCGTTTAAATTCTTCCATAAATAAAAAAGTTGGCACTGCGCATGCGCAAAACCAAATTTTGAAATTGGCGTTTGATTTTCTTTTATCCCAAGTGCCTATGTATCAAATTTCGTTTAAATTCTTCCATAAATAAAAAAGTTGCCACTGCGCATGCGCAAAACCAAATTTTGAAATTGGCGTTTGATTTTCCTTTATTCCAAGTGCCTATGTATCAAATTTCATTCAAATACTTTTATAAGTAAAAAAGTTTGCAATTCGGGTTATAAATGGTCGAGATGCGAAAAGGGCACTGTGAATTTTGAATCGATTCGATTCAACTTTTGGCATTGCGTATTATATGGCTAAATCTATGCCCATATTGAATTTCATGCATTTCAGTTCATAACTAACGGAGATGTAAAAGCGATCGAACATTTCTAAACAAAGTTATCGTTCACACGGACAGATAGATGGACAGACAGACAAAGGAACAGACGGACAGACCAACCGGCAGGCGAGAGATAGCAATGCAAAATTATAAACGATCTCTAGGATCGTTAATAAACGGCAAAAGTGTAAAATTATGGAACATGTAAAAAAACGGTTTTTTGTTTTTTTACAATAACTTTTTTTGTAAGCGGTACAGAAAAAATTCCTTCCTTGGTACAAGACTCGACACCATAACGAACCAAATAGCGAAAAAAGTAGAACAATAGCTCTTAAGATAAAAAAACTAGTAGCGTCGCAAAGTTAGCGGACGGACGGACGGACGGACGGACGGACAAAGTGGCCACAATAGCGCATTTTTTTTTATTTTTGTGGAAATGCGCTAAAAACATAAAAATGAAGTTCCTTCTTTACACTCTTGTGATCGTGCTGCTGGCCATTCAGGTAGTCTACTGTGCAGATAAGTGCCATTGCCATACTAAAGGAGGAGCCTGTCCGATAGGCACAGGTGGCAGGTGGGTCTAATTTTTTTTAAATTATTACAGTTGAATGAAATTAAATCAGATACATAATTAGACATATATATTGTTATTAACAAATTTTGTTTTCTTCTATAGTGAGTCATGCAACGACGGTGACAAGCCAGGGGTGAAGTGCTGCAGGGTCTAGGGCGAGTAACGCACACCTGCCTTCCTTCTTTAGAAGATCACAATATGATGGGTGAATAAACTGTAACTCCAGACTACTAAAGTGTATTAAATAAAGAAGTTTACTGCAAACTCGATAGTTTAATGCTCCTGCAAGAGATGGCATAAGATTATCAGATCGATTTCAACCTGCGATAAAAAGCAAGCCCCCGCGCTTTATGACATTTCTCGCCATAGGCGCCTCCAGGTGTCAAAAATTTCATGAAATATGCTAATTTGGAGTATCCTTTCCATTTTTACCCAAACATTCTGAGGAAGTTTAAAAGCGCCAACTACATCTTAATGATCATACCGCCATCTAGCAACCTTACACCCTCAATCAACCTACACCAAACGAACATGAAAATACATGCGCAATCGACGAATGCGGTGTGGACGACGTAGGTACACGCTATACATATGTACATTTCTTCGACGCCAAACGAGCATACGCTAGCAATCACCGAATCTTTTTCGTTGGCCGGGTCTGTACGCACCTTAAGAGATGCAGAATTTTTAGTGCAGTTCTCATTTCCTCTTCAATTTATTGGGTTTTGTTTGATTCTAATTGAATTGAAAAGTTATCGATATACTTATACAAGGTCGGGAGTATAGGAATAAAGTTTTAATCATAATATGGGGGGGGGGGGACATGTTATGGATATGTAGAGATATGTGACATTTTGACATTTTTGTATTTTGGGATTTCTGCTCCGGTAATTTGGTATTGACCGATATCAGTTTCCCAATGTTAAACGAAGGCGAGCATTAAAGCTAGCAAGGCAGGTAGCAATGGAAATTACTGGGCTACCGAATTTGAAATTGTTAATCCGGCCAATTAAGTGAGTATAATTAACCGCACTGTTGCAGCAAACTTCGTCTGATTCGATTGGGTCTAGTGTCATTAGAGACGCGCTCAATTAACATGAATTTCAAGATTAGTCCCAATTTTTAGGAGCCTGTTAATTAAATAAAGAAGTTTTAATTTTTGGGTGTTACCAACCGAGTACGCCGGGCGGCTGGGAAATCCGAGTTCCATTTCCACATGTTTTTTTAACAAAAAACATCACGTGTTTTAGATTTTGAATGGATATTTATTCACTTCGTTTCTCTTTATCTCCTCGGTCGAGGTCCATTTGCCACATAATAGACTACTATTCAAAAATCAACATATTTACACTAAACTTACCATCTGTGCTACTCCTATCATGTAAACTACAATCTTCTTCTTTACCGGGACGTGGTGGACTACCAGGTGATAAACCTCCCGTAGAACTAACCGATCCTGCGGAACTATGCGTCGTACCGTTCGCGTGAAGATATATTCCGTGATCACTTAAATTTAAACCGCTAGTTGATGGCTGACTAAGTGCGTGAGATTCTTGTAATCTTTGGACGTTAAACTGAAAAGATAAAGCATCTTTTTAAAAAACTGACAATTTGGGTCATAAAGAGTGCATATAACACAGTTCAATTTTGCCGTTTCCACCGCCCATAAATAATTAATTTCGCTCAGTTGCTCGATAGTTAATAGCATTTCGGGTAACAAAAAATTATGCATCACCGTTAAAACATCCACGAAGTACATAAAAATATGTAACGTTGCAAAAAGTTGCTACGAGTATATGTGAGTAGCACGTGGTGTAATGACATTGATAAATCGCCATAAATCCCGAGTTTGATGTCAGAAAGCAGTTTTTATGGACAGCTTACTTCTAGAAAGAGTAGAGTAGACATCATGCCAAAATGGGTAGCTGAAAACTTTACTGAAGGTGCGTTCTTTGCAGCTGCTGTAATATTCGCATTCAAATTTAAATGCACATGTTTCATAAAAACAAACGAGAGGTCGACATAGATATTTATGTATACCTATTATTTTTCCCTATGTTTACTTTCAAAGATCAAAATATCTTCTGAAGGACGCCTAATTTTATGCAACCAAAATGACTTCCTAAAACAAATAGACATCTGGCTGTGACATTAATTAAGTTTATGCCCTACCAACATATCATAGCACATTTTATATCTGTGATACATTGGCATAAAGTGATACTTTATGCCCTAGGGCCTACAGCATTAAGTATCACCATAGTAACTTATTTGCACTTAATAACAAAACAAACAAATATTTGCAGGTCATTTAAGATTAGAAACGTCAATTATTAAATGTCAATACCTACCAACTCACAAGATTGGCCTTAATCCGAATAGTTTCTGGAACTTCTTCCTTATTCATGATTAATTGAATTATTTAAAATTACGTTTGACGTTTGGATGGTTTCAATCACATTAACAAATTCGAACCACGCATACTTGATCAAACCTAATGAATTGTTTTGTAAGCGAATATTTACTTTGACGATGAAAACTATTTGCAATAAAATTTTGTATGTACCACGGTCATAAACTGATATCTCTCGGGCGACTAAAAAGCTCTTGGGCCTATCGGCCCTCGAACTTTTTAACTCGTCGCCCTCGAGAATATAAACATCACTTTTACGCCCTTAATACATAAATAACTATGAATATTGCTGCTTTGGTTCCTGTATTTTTATATTCGTTCGTGTGCGATGTATTCAACTGATTAAACAGTAGATATTGTCAATTGGTATTGGGCCGGTAACAGTTTAAGAAGCTTAAAAGATTTATTTTCAGGTAAGTCAAAGCAACAATATTCACACTTTAATATGACAGCCATATGTTTATTTTATAAAAAGTTATTTTAGATGCATAAAATTAGGCGCCCTTCAGAAGAGAGTTTGTCTTTTGAAAGTAGACATAGGGAAAAACAATATACATAAATCCCTATGTCTACTTTTTAATAAATAGCACTGTAGGTATAGTATAATTTTTAAAAAATGATTTTGTGTTTATAACTACTAATAAAGATCCGTGTTTAATTTTTTATGAATTTACTTGAATAGGTAATTCAATTCATCAACTTTTAATTACACGTCTAATAGTATAATACCATAACATTTTAAATGAATGTCTAAAGTTGAAGGGAACAGCATCATATGCGGTTTAACACAATGACGAATAAAATTATTAGATTCGGGTGCGTGGAAAATTCCTTAGCTGAATGTATAACGACTTTATATCTCATAAATTCGCTACCCTATGAAATAAACTTAAACAGAAAGGGTTGGCGATCAGTTGAGACGGCTCAAAAAGTCAAGCTTTAATGATCGTCAAGTATATGTAACCCAAGTCACAGTTGAGTTTGAGCAGAATAGTTCTGTTTATATCGCTAAAAAAATGGTATTCTGTTCAAATGTTAGGAGCCTCATTTTGTCTAATTAAAATCACAATTCTCTAGAACGAGTAGTGTGAGGTAGGTATAGGTAGGTAGGTACATACATAAGTGAACTCGCGCTATCCGGTGATATAATTCTTCCATGTGAGATTGGAACATTATTTGAGTTTATACGAAGTCAAATTTTGTGTTGTTTTAAAAGTTTGAGTTTTGTGCAGCTGTATAGTAAATTTAAATATAAATTTTTGGCGGAGAATTTGAGTTAAATGTTGGGTGCCAGTTTTCAAATGTAAAAACGCCTTTCTAATTTTATGCTGAAGAGCCACTGAAATACGAAAGCGCTTACATAGAACTATTCCACATTTTCCAAAATATAGCATCTCAAAATGTATCAAATTTGTTTCTCGGGGATTTAAAAAATATCCCTGTAACAAGAGTAACAATTTTTCGATGGGCATTAAATCAGAGTGTCCAAAGTGAGATACAGAGTGTCCAAAAAAAGATTCATACTGTGGAAAATGAAATGAAAGCTAAATACGATGAACTACGAAGAAAATGTACCTACGTTATTGGCCGAACAACGGAAAAAAGTGATGGGTCACACACAAGATCTACTTGCTGTTCCACAATCGTTCCACAAAGAAGCCTTTGAACCGTGTGAAAATATCAGTACGACGAAAGTTCGAGTTAAACCACCGACATTCGATGGAAAATCACCGTGGTCCCCCTACTTCTCGAGGCCTCTGTCAATAGAAATAAGGGGACAGTAGAAGAGAAGGCGACTTTCCTGATAGTTGCGGTACGTGAAGATGCTTTGGATGTATTTCTTACGATTCCAGATCACCAGCAAGAAACTTTCTAAGAACTTGAAGCTGATACAGCCCAGTTAATAATATTGGTGTATCCTACTGCCCCTGAAAGCTTTATAGCGCAGCTAGCGGTGCAGACGTTTATCGATGGTGTTCACGATGTGGAAACGCAACAAGCTTTGAAACTTGCGCGACGTGGGAACTTAAACAAGGCTTTTGCGCATTTCCTGAAGTTTGACGCTACACAAAAAACGTCTCGTGGTAATGTTCGCGTATATACCATTGCTATACAGAAGAAAAGAACGCAAATATAGAAGAAATAGTAAGGGATTGAAGCAATTGAAGCAGCAACGTACAAAACGACGAAGACTGCGATGCTGGGGTTGTGGTAAAACAAACGGACACAGAAGAAGAAATTGCCCTGAGAGCACAGTAACCAATAACCAGGAAACTACAGGGCAGAGCCCAGCTTCGGTACTGTTTGACCGAGAAATCCGGTTGCCGTGCGATTTGCAGTTTGGTACCCGGCCAAGAAGAAACTGTGGACAACAAGTACGTGGCAAACCTGCGTCAAATAGTGGGTACCATCCATGGCAAAGATGGCCATATATGCAGTTGGCAAGCGACAGAATGAAAGTACAGTACGACGTGAAGACCTGGTTTGGTTGTATCGTCCCCAGAGGGGACGCGAACTATCTCCGAAATTGCAAAGAGCTTTGGAATGGCCCTGTTTAGTCGTGAAGAGATGACTTAATATACCAGATACGGAAACTACCACGAGGGAAAGCAGTGGTAGTGCATATAAATCGGGTGGGTCCATACGCGGGATAGAATAAGCTCGAGGAACATCTAGAAAACGAAAATGTATTGCAAGTGACACCACCACAGTCCACTTTCTCGGAATTTATGGCACATTATTCTGGAACGCAAAAGGCACGCTTTGTTGTTGTCCGTGTGAAATCTAAGGATTTGTTTGAAGCACCAGCAGAGTACGCACTGGCTCACTGCATAACCAAGGACGTCAAGATATCCAGGGGTATTTCCGAAGAATTTAAGTTCCGGTTTGGGCGCCTAAATCTACCTGCAACGTCTCGACGTGGGTAAAGTGTGTTTCCTGCAGGAGCCGGGACAATTTCTTTATTACCTGGAAACTGAAGACCGACCTTATGATAAGCATAGTTACACGAAGATTTTTGGAATGCGCTACAGCACTTGAAGCGACAACCACAGATTCATGGCGTTACAAATCTGGCAATTCCGAAGGTCGGATTTGGTCTCGATGAGTTGGACTGGCGCATCGTGCACAATATGGTGGAGGTGGAGGTCTGTAGTCTGTAGTCAATTTGTATTTCAATGTTATTGCAGTTGGTTAGACCACCAACAATACACATCTCTAGACGATGTACCTCACCTTGAGTGAGACCAACGATGTATCTCTATCCTTTCCAGTTTTGCATATTCTCTTCATTTATTGTTAAACACAATAGACCATGTATAATGGTCAAGGACTAATATTATGTAAACAAGTTTAGCGAAAAGCTGTACAATATTTGAATGGAGATGCACAAATGCCTATTTCTGTTACTATTGAGTAAATTACTTATTCAATACATTTACTGCATTTTTCTATAATGACATCTTCTGTAAATTACCTGGTTCTTAGGTCATTAGTGGACTAGATTAGCATTGTTTGTTAACATTTTTAATTAACCCTTTATTTCCTGTGAGTTTTTCTAATTAATTTTACTGATTTATAGATGTTTATAGTTATTAGATAGACATGTGCGCATGAATGAATTCACATAGGAGGAGGTATGGTAGAACCTAATAAACCGGCACTTCGAACACCTAAAATAAATCTCTTTATTTTCTTATACAATAAGGGTGAACAACAACAAAAAATGTATTTTTTTTATAAAAATGGTAGCTAACATTTAAAATTCTGTTACAATGATTAAAAGTATAACATACACCGATTTTTAAATAAATTCTTATCTTTTCAAAAAATAATAATTGTACATAGTTATACTTATTTATATTTATGCACAACTCATGTAGATTTTTTCCGAACATCTTATGTGCAGCAAGATGACTTCGCTTATTTGTCCTAAATTGAGAATTCAGTTGTAAAATTGGTTTATTCCGCGGTTGATCCTCTATTTTCTGAGAGGCAAGATCCGAGATGATATCAGTTCATATTCGCTAAGTTGATGTGAAGTTTACGGGATTCCATCATATTCTCAAACGGAAAAAATAAATAGTTGAAATTTTTTAAAAGTGGGAGAATTTTTTAACCCACTTCTAATTACCGGGAAAACCCAAAATTTCACCCATGTTT